GGGAGGGAGGAAGGAAGGAAGGAAGGGGAAAAGCAAGAAATCAAACAAAGAAATAAGGATGTCCAGCCTGCTGCTGCTAAGTTGATTCTGACTCATGTTAACTCCATGTGGTACAGCGTAAAGGTGCAACACCACTGGGTGGGTTTGGACTGCCAGTCTTTCTGTGAGAAGTTCAAACCATTTGTGCTACATGGTCTGTGCTTCTACAGTTAGAACCCATGAAAGGACAAAGGACTCATCTGAAAGTTTGATCTTTAATTTCACAGGAGCCAACCTCATTAGAATATGATTATGGTCATCTCCTTACCCTCCTACCCCCCCGATTTAAAGTCAAATGATAGAGTGGACTCACCCACCAACATGGCCCCACTACACCTTATCTGTGCTATTTGCACAAATATTCCTTGGGGAAATGCTTCCATTTTCTTGCTGGCTGGGACAAAATGAAAGATATTTAAATTGCCATTTTTCCTTCTCATCATCTAAAAGAAGAGACTCTTCAGCTAGTTGACTCACCAGCTTGGTGGCCCCGGTAAATTAAAATATGAAGGGTTTGTTGGGGGGGGTGGTGTTAAGCTGTTAGAAAAATCTTGATTGTTCCATTTGGTCCAAGACTCAGGCAAAGGGCTTCTGGGTGGATAAGATTCTACACTAGGGTGGGAAGCAGACGCTTGCTGCTGATGGCAGGGGGGAAGCAGAAGTCCCTCCACCTTTGCAGGTCCCCGCAGGCCTTGTAATGCTTGAGGGTGAGACACTCAAAGAGCTACTCGTAGAACCCAGCCGGGGGGTGGGGGGGCCTCCCAGTCTTCTGATGCTGGTCAGATGGTCTCCCATCTTCTTCAGCAGTTTTGCTTCCTCATCCGGGAAGTGGTTCTCCAGAAAGTCACAGAAATGGGGGTCAGTGTGGGCAGAACCCACAGCGTGCAGATCCAGAAGGGCCTGGCTTAGGTTCTTCTCCAAGGCCAGCGCAACTTGCATGGTGTCCCGGGTTTTACTCCACTCATCCTGGGATGGCTTCTGTGTATCTTGGATGAGGACGCAGCGGCCGCGCTGGTTTTGCAGCTTCAAGAGATGCTCAGCACCTTCGCGCTTCTCCTTCGCCAACTCCTGGAAGAAGAGTCCCGCGCCTTCCAAGGCCACATCATGGTGGTCAAAACAACTCAGAGAGAGGTAGGTTAAAAGGCCTGCTTCAGCAGAATCATTTTGACGCATCTGAGAGCTCAGAGTTGGTCCAGGTTTTGGGGTTAAACAAACAAACAAAAAAGTCGTTAGCTGGTCCGGAAGATAGAAGATGGCTAAAATGGTGCTGAGATTACGCCTGGAGATGAAGTTGGAGGGTAGTTGGAGGCTGGACGTGAGGAGTCACCAGGTCTGTTCCATCCAAACACTGTTGAAGCAGGAGACAGACCCACGGGACCTCTGGGAACTGAAATATGAAATTTTTAAAGATCAGCAAAGATTTAGAAGTTATATTGTCCCATGGAAGTCAAGTCCTAACCCTCACTTGATGTTACAACTTTAAGGTCAGAGAATATTTTCTTTAATGCCATGTCTTCAGTATAGTATTGGCACAGAGCAAGTCCTCAATAAATGTTTGATTTTTTAAATATGATTAATGAGTACAATGTGATAATCTTGTCTAAATGCTGATATATGTGATTTTTACCTTTCCCATGCTAGTTCTCATTTTCAAATTCAAAAGGGAGGTGTCCTCTCCTTCCATTCTGGTGTATTATTAGACGGTGGACTACAGTTCTCGATGTCAGGTGAGAACTGGTGTTAAGGGAGTTGAGTAATACAACACACAAAACCCCTCCACAGGGAATTTTGGAATGGAACATTGGCATAATGGAAGAAGTGTTTTAAAGCTGCAAATTAGTACTAACATCTGTGCAAAACAAGCTTTCAAACTGTGAACCAACAGGATTTACAGCAGACTATTAATCTTCATTCTGTTCCTGAGTTAGAGAGATGCTTATTCTCAACAGTGAATCACTCCCAGGCAAAAGCTACAAAAAGCAGGACTCTGCCACACCCCGAGAAACACAGGGGAGATGGCAGGGAAAAAGGATTAATTCTCTCTCGTAATTGAGTATAGCATTTTGCATTTTATCTCATATGGTTACTGAATAAAGTCCGTTCACCCACATGTAGTGGGAGAGACTTTCTGTGGGGAAGTGAAGGAGTTACATATCTTTCATTGTAACGTGTGGTGAGCAGGAGAACACTATTCATTTTTAGTTGCAAAGCAGTCGTTTTGTATATGGAGAGAAACAAAAGCTTTCCCTTCTAAGAGTACAGCTAACTCATCACTATTCATGCTGAGAGAGGGAGAGCATGGTTGAGTTGCCAAAATTCCTAAAGGGCGTTTTTTTCACACCTCTCTATCTTTTATATCTGTCTAGAGCAAAATAGATAAATTTTGAGCACCACCTTCAATCTACAAATTACTCACAGTCTCTTCAGCAGAGACTGTGCCTTCTAGCTTTGATAGAGCAGTGAGAGGGAGAGGTGCTTGGGGTGGGAACATACACACACACAGAGTTGTGTGCAACTTGGGCTCAAGGGCAGTAAGAAGGAAGTATGAGATTAGGGTGGTGGTCAGACAGGGACTCCTAAAGGACATGAAAAGATGAGTGGTGTAAAATTGGGAGTGGAGAGACAACCTATACTGCAGGATCTTGAGTGAGGAAAAAGAACTAGCAGAAAGATAGCAACAGAAGTTGCAAGGGAGAGACTGTTATGTTAGATGACAATTCCAACAAGTTCATGGAGAAGCTGGGAAGCATTTGGCATAAAAATTCAGAGCTGTGAATTGATAATAAATAGGAAAAAAATGTTCTCAATCCTCTAAATCTACCAAAGATTTAAAAAAATACTGCAATAAACAAACATGGTCTCTAAGAATCTAAGAAATGGAAACAACCTTAATACCATCAACAGATAAATGGATATGTTACATGGTATACACATAATGTATAACCCAGTCACAAAGAAAAACTGAATCTTGATATATTCTACAATATGAATCTTGTGAGACCATTACGCTGAGTGAGATAGATTGGTAACAAAAGGACAAATACTGCATAGTCTCACATAAAAGAGAAAATTTCAAAAAAGGCTTTCTAATAGTTCACATAAGGGAAAGGAAGGGGCTAGCGGAATTTTGCTTAGGGGGGTCACTGAGTTTCTATTCACTGGTGGTGGAATAATAAGAAAATACATAGTGATGGTGGTTGTTTGATGTGGTAAATATAATGAAAGTAAAAAACCAGTACACATAAAAAAAATTGGCACATGTTTTGTTATATATCTCTTTACCATAACAAAGAAGAAGAAGAAAGGAACATAGAGAGAACTGAGCAGAGGTGAAGTAACATCAAGAACTCATGGGTCCCACAAGGAGTCAGTCACTCAGTGCTTGTCTACTGCAGAAAAACAGCAAAAGGTGGAGAAACATGCTGAGAGAATCATGAACTTAACCTACCAACAAGGGGAAGACATAGATTAAAGACCAAAACAAACAAAAGCCCTTCAGCCTGAGCAAGCCCAAAACACAGACATGGTTTCAGAACTGCCTGGGATAAATACTGGAAGCATCAGCAAGAGCAATGACCATGAAGAATTAGCTTAAGATAGGGAACTGGGAAGTTAGGCACATTTTCTGGTGCCTCTGCTTCTGTCAATCCTACTGTCCTACACTCAAGTTTCTACAGCTCCCTCTGTCCAATTCCTTGGGAATCCCCACACCAGCACTAATCTTTCCTGTTTCCATCTACTGTCCCTAGGGCAATATAAGGTCTCTAGCTATAGGCTCTGATGAGCCCAGTTCCAGCCCCAGCAATAGACTAAGTCAGAATGTGGCATTTTCCCTTACTCTAGGCATTGCCAGTGACTTAGTAACAGTCAGTTACTTCCCGCCCCTCCCCTCAGCTCCAAGGTGGAACTTACTAGTAGATGAGAATGTGTCAGTACTAAGATATGACTGAATTGATAGCCCATTCTGCCCACTGACACAAGCTGTTGCTTTCTGGTTGGAATCTATGATGAAATCCATATGATAGCTATATATGTTTGTGAGATTCAACTGTATAAGTAAGTACGTAAAGTTAGGGGCTGTCAATATTCTCAGTGTGACTAAACCACAGTTCATTCATTCTTTGGATGATGATACATTTGAGCTGTTTCCATTTGGGGCTATTACACATAATGCAACTGACTGGTTTACTCACGTCAAGTACGGGTGGTATTTATCTGGGAGTGGAATTGCTCTTCCATAGGGTGTTCATATATTAAGTTTTCACCTCTATATCCAAGCATTGTGTAGAGTGATTTCACCATCTTATGCTTGTACTCTCCAACATTCAGAACTGTACAACTTAAGTTATTAACAATCTAATATTCTGTGGTTCTCATTGTGGTTTTAATAATCCTTGATGACTGCACTACCAAGATTAAATCATTGACACAGGTTTATTGGCCGTAATCTCGGGACACCACCAACCTCTAGCAGACCAGGAAACCTGGCCACTTCTATGATTTTGAGTTGTGCTTCACATTATTTCCCACTCTGTTCTTTCCCTGTGATGCCATTTAGAGTGATGGTCAGTGATAGCTGGGCACCGTCTAGTGCTTCCTGTCTCTGGGCTGTGGAAGTGAAAGTCCACATGGTCCATTAATCCGTCGAACTCATTGATCCTCTGCATCTTTGCTTTTCTTCCCTCTTCTTTGGACCAAACAAGAGACAAATAGTTGCATCTTAAATGGCGGCTTACAAACTTTCAAACTGTATTTTCTACTCTCCAGAGTAGGAGAAAGAATATCATCCGTGTCAACTATGTTATGCTAATTGAGATTTGAAAGAACTCTTTATGCATTTTACATCATAAGCCTTTGTCAGCCTTATGTTAACAAGTGTTTTCTCCCACTCTGTAACTTGTCCCATCCCCCAATGTTGATGTCTGTTCATAAATAGACTCTCGATTTTAACTCTGTGTCAGTGCTTCGCAAGCTATACATATTGGACTTAGTTTTATTTGTCTTAAATATCCAATCACTCACAGAATTATTTTTATGAAATAGAATAAAAATAAGTTCATATAAAATTAAATTTTAGAGTACTCAAAATGTTCATTTAGAAGAAAACAAATCATTCATTTGTAAGAAAAAGGACATTTTTGAAATGTAAGTGTTCCAAAATCAGACGAGTAGTTTCAAGCTCCTGAGAATTATCTTTGTATACACTCTGCCTCCACCATCCATGTGGCCTGGAAGCTATAGAAGTGTGGCCAGAGATAAAAACAAACACAAAAAAAAGTCATTGCTGACCCATAGTGACCCTATAGAACTGCATCATAGAGTTTACAAGATAGAAATCTTTATAAAAACAAACTGCCACCTCTTTCATCCTTGAAATAGTTAGAGTTCAAACCAGTGGCCTTGCTGTTAGCAGTCAAACTCTTCAACTACCTGGGCTCCTTAGCAAGAAATACTGTTGTTAAGTACTGTCCTTACTCATTGCAACTCCATAAACAACAGAATAAACAATAATCAATGCGGTAGGACCTTCCCCCTCCTGCCCTGGGTTGGTTCTTCTGCTGTACACTTCACATCAACAACAGCTTCCTCTGAGAGAAAACTATAACCAAGCAAGGAGAAGGACCAAGATCAGAGAAGCCCATACGTAAGTCTCTCTCTTCTTCCTTAATGGACTCCTGATGAGAGTATGTTTTTCAGGGTAACATGGGAATGAACAGGATATTATTGTTAAAGTGAAGCTCGTCCTCCTACCACCTCCACTTCCCAAACACAAGTGAAGCACTGGTCTGGAGAATTATAATGCATGAAGTCATTTCCCACAACTATGACAAATAAACTACTTAAAGGTCAACAGTATTTGGATTGTAAAGTAGAATTTCAGAGTGAGCACAAAGCTGCTTTTCCCCCTCCTTTTTTTATGGTTCAGGCAAAGAAGTTAAGACCCAGGAGGCTATATAGTATCATTTAATCAACAGCGATTTTTTTATAATTTTTTATTGTGAAGTAAAACAAAACCCATGATCCATGGACCAAATATGTAGCTCAGTAAAGAATCGTCAGTCAAATGCCCTTATAATGACCATTCTAGGAGTCTCTTCAGATTCCTTGATCAACCATTGTCATAGCCTTTCCCCTCTTTCCAAAAATACAATTTTCTTACTAATAATTCACAA